GTTAGCAATTATTCACTCATTCAGATAATTCATCTGTGTTCAAAACGTAAAAATATTCATTAAGCTTATAACAAGATATATGTGGAAAATATTATGTTTATTTAATGATTCGATATATAATACGTTAAATAAAGTCCATTAGTCTTGGGAGGGGGAAACAACAATAACATTAACAAAAAACAATACAGATTTAAAGAACTCGGACATGAGCCTGAAAATATTTTTCCTAAAACAAAATATGCCAATTATAATTATCTTATTTATGATATGGCTATTTTAGGAACTAGCTCCAACAGTGAATTAGGCAGACACGCATCAATAAACAGAAAATAAAAATATAATAACTTAAGTAAAAATCTTGTGAATAAAAGTTTTCATTAGATTTTAAGCCTTTTGAATAATTTAAAATATCACATGTAAAATTTATAGTTTGCCTTTATAGGTTTTCATATTTTAATATTAATGTTGACTACTGGTAACACACTCTTAAACCACTATTTGGTTACAAAAATTAGAACACTTAACAAGAAAAACGTGTTTCACATATATAACATGATTTTCATTTGATTCAGAATCTTAGACGTTAAATTTTCGTTTATCCATCTCATTTTAACTTAAACTAAGAGTTTAAAAGATACTGAGACATAACAATATCCAAAAGGATAAAAACAAATAACATTCATTTCTTTAGTTTAAAGCAGAGTTTCTCAAACTATGTTCCGCGGAACACTGGTGTTCCGTCCGAGATAAATAGGTGGATCGTGAGAAAATCATGATTTTAAATTTAATGAAATATTTAACACTTTTTGTTCGAACTTAACTTATTATGAAATATTTTCCTATGCATTAGAATTAGATAATATCGATTTTACACTGAAGAAGAATTATAGAAGATGTCATATCTATTCTACATAATATCTTAGTGAAGAGGTTTGTACCTAAAATATATTATAAGCATAAAAATGTCAAAATCATTAATATGTAATTTGATTAAATAAATAAATGAATAATAATGAATATCTAGAGGGTGCTACGCGCGCAACATACATTCTACAGTCTACACTCTACACCGATACTCTAGTGTTCAGTAAGCTTTTTCTCTGCTGAAAAGTGCTCCGTGGCCAAAGAAGTTTGGGAAAAGCTGGTTTAAGGTATAACATCATATGACGTAGCACTAGTTAAGCTGCTCTCCTTCTCGATTTCTCTATATATTTTACATCGAAAACGTATAGTTTTACTCAGTGTTTTCACTTCTTTCTTTACAACAAGAGTTGTAACAAACCAAAAGCAAAGTTACTCATTATGATGCAACTTGTCCATCCCACATGTAATGAACGGTATTTAAAAAACAAAACAACAAAACTCGGTAATTGAATGGTTGAGGTAAATGTATTGTTACGTCTCTGATCGTTAGTT